TTTTTTTCTTTTTTTTTTAAAGCTGCACCGCTTTCTGTTTCTTTTGTGTTTTAAATTCTAAGCACACACAAGCAATTACAACCAGTGAAGCACAGTAACCACCCCTGTGGCACCAGTGGTAAAGTCTGACAGTGATAGGCACCGTGCCAATGATGACGGAAGGCTTTTCTGCTCCGGAGCTGATGTCATTGTGTGCCAGGAGGCAGATTTGTGGCTATTTTGCTGTTTTCCTGCCTAAAAACCTCACTTTACTGTCTCATTGTCCTCCAATAACCTTGAAACTGCAACTGAAAGGATTTACACTGATTGAATCAAGTGTGCCTAAGCAGTTTATGTGACACCAAATCAGATCAGGCTGCCGCGACGTCTGTCAGCATTCATACGATCATTTGATGATTGATTCCTGTGATAGTATTACCAGCCTGGAGCGAGGCCTTGGACTAGAAACTCCTGTGGGGAGAGAAATCTGTTTCCAGTGTTGTTGTCTTATCAGGTTTTTATCCAGCTCATCTTACAGTGCATGAATTCAGCATACAAATAACAGTTAATGAGATCAAATGATATCTATGACCTTTGGGTGTTCAGTTAAATGTCTAATCTGATCTGTGCTCTGATAAATAAGGTGCTAATGGAAAGATAAAACACATCACACACTCCTCTGTAACCACAATCTCTCTTCCTTTCGCTCTTTCTTGTGTGTTTAACTAATGAAACAGATGAATTAGGCCATATTCATGTGTAGAGTTAATCCAATCCAGCTCTGTGTTGTTGTTGCCCCTGTTCGACTTTAAGAGAGCTCTATGGGCGGTCCTACTGCACAGACCAATGAATCGCCTTCTCCGTTTAAATAGACCTTGATGTTAACTTCTTCACTCACAGCTCCCTCTAACGCCATGTTGGCTGTTATGACTTAACTTGTTTTCATCTGCATTTACTACGGACTTGACAGGAGTGGCTTTCTTAAACCCCCCTTGCGCCTTTGGAGACTCTTTATTCCACTTTTGCGCGTACGCGTTTTGGATGATACGCGCGGAGTACGCATGCATCATCCCCGTGACTTTGCATTTGAGAGGAATACTACTTGGAAATAGAAGTTTGAAAGGGTTTGGTTGTTGTTTGTGTGTTTTTTTTTTTGCCCCCCCTCCCCGCCCCTTGTCATATGTGCAACAAAATGTCAGATGTTCGCCTTTCTAATGCGAGCCCGACAGTGGAGAGAGTGGATGCGCGGCAGCCGGACAACGTCAGACCTCCGGTTAGCAGAAACCTTTTCGGCTCACCTGACCGAGAGGAGCTACGGAGGTATTTTGCGGATTCGATTGAGGAAGGCGTGCGGGATTTTATGGATGAGTATAATTTCGACCCCGTCAACGACAGACCGCTCTCTCCGCGCAACTACGAATGGCAGGAGGAACGCGACCCAGCGGAGTTTTTTCTCAGACCGCCTCACGGGAGCCAGCGGCCCGGAGAGGAACACCGGCAGGACGCCGAGGAGAGCGGTGCGCGGCGGACGGGTCGCCAGCCGGAGAGAGGCGGCTCGAGGAAAAGAGGCTCGGGAGCTTCAGGTGATTCACTTTGACTTATTAAGGCTGTGTCTGTGCGCGTCTCTGTCGCAATGCAGAGGCGCGAAGCAACAGTTGTGTCCGGGGTTCGACCGTGAGGCTGCGCGGATCTCCGTGCAGAGCGGTACGTGTGCCGAAGAGGCTGTACGGACGACACAGTAACGTGATCTCTCATTATGAGCGACCACGTAGTGCACACGTCGCGCTTATTACATGGCAGTTAGCACATTTTTCATAACTCGGGTTCGGTTGTAACATTTCTCCGCGTCCCTCTCCGAGGATGGCAGGTGCCTTTCTTTTCTTTTTTTAAAGCGGACGTGCAGCTCCGCACACACTCACACACTCCCCTGACAACTTTGTTGTGTCCTGCCAGGTCCCTGCTCCAGCGAGTGTCAGAGTAAACGGTCGCATACCGACGGAGACGACGATGAAGACCATTCGGACGGTGCAGCGAGTCAGGCTGTGGTGAAAAGCGCGGAGGAGAGACCGAGCAGGCCGGAGAGCAGCGCCGAGGTCCAGTGAAAAACAGTGCCAGGTTAGAAATCATTACCTCACTATTCCACTGTTATGAGCGAGTATGGATGGGTAACAGCGTGCATGTTTTCTGTGTGTCAAACACCAAGCATCGGCTCTTATATTGGATGCCAGTAGTAGTTGTGTGTGTGTGTGCTTGTTTATCAACAGCGTCAGTAACGCATTCACAACAGCTGTAAACACATTTATTTCCTGCACGTCATCAGCCCTTCAAACTTGCATATTGTTTTTTTTTTTTTTTTTGCATGCTATGACTGTTCAGCCTCTGCGTGTCTGCAGGAGGGATATCAAGCATGAGCAACTGCTTTTTCAATTGCACCATTCAACAGCCTGTTTCCTCTTTGTGCCCCACAGAGCGGGGAGACCTGTTGCTGGTGGAATACTGTAGCCTTTCTCATCACCTGACAGATGGGGAGAAAATATAAAAGCAGCCTTTTCCTAAAGAAGGGAGGAGGAGAGGCTTGCACAAGCACTGAATATGTACACTATCAAGTTTTGGCACTCATTTCAATTAAATTGCCTCAGAAGCAGCAGACAATGTAGCAGTGTGCAAATGGATTTTTGCTCATTTTTTTATCTACTACCTATGTTTCAGATGTAGCACATAAAAAAAAGCATATTATGCTTTTCATACCTTTTTTTTGTTAAATGTATTTGAATAAGTGTGTGAATTTGACTCAGGAAGTTGCAGTGCAATTTCCAACAGAGAAATATTATTTTGTTAAAGTGGTCATATTGTGTCATTATTCAGGTAATTGATGTAAGTTAAAAATGCAGATTTCAAAAGTCAGGGTTATGTGGAAACAAAATGTCTTCTTTGTCTTTCTTTTTTTTATGGCTTTATTTGTCCCAGTGTTATACATCTTGTTGTTGAAGGCCCAGATGGCCACACTGTAAGTTGAGGGTCCATCTAACTGGGAACAGCCATGACAGATAAAGTTTACATGCAAATAATGTCTCCTTATTTCCCCATTTTTATTTCATTTTTTACATATTTTTTTAAAGGGGTTTTTGCCAAAGTTTGTGCCTTTTTGTTCTGGGGTTGAGGGAGTGGGGTGGGAGGGTTTTAAACTGCTGAGCAATATCCAACCAAATTTTAACTATTTGCTAATAATCCTAAGAATTAGCTTTTATTTTTAAATTAGGTGAGTTAATATTTTAGTGGCTTCTAGGTCACATATCCTGCCCATTGTAATAAGTGGTGTAGTCCAGGTTAACATAGATAAAATATGTTAAAACCAGTGGGCTACTTATGCAAATATGTGAATCAAAGATTTGTGGTGTGGAATTCATGTGGAACATGTAATTGCACTATTGTTAATTTCTCTTTTTTTTTTTAGGGCAGAAAAACAAAGTGACACTGCCTCATTTGGTGTAAAACTTTGAAGTGTACCTGTGTGCCTTTTCTTTTCTTTTCTTTTTTTTGAAAAACACTGAAAAAATTATACTAACTTATTTATGTTGAGCTTTTTGTTGTGGGTGTATGTACAGCTTCCCAAAGTGACATTTTTGTAAATATATATTTTCATTATTGTTTTTAAGATAAATAAACTGTTGCAAAACTGAGCCTAATAATCGATTTTATATACAGTGTTTTGTATTTTTTTTCCTTTTCTTCAATCTGCAGTTTGATTGATTAAAAAGCAACGCTGGTGTAATTAATGCATATGCTCACTATTTTGATTGCACAGCACACAAGCACTCCACCATTACCAAACACATTTAAAGTTTAAAGTGATCCGCCCATGTAAACTGATGGAGACACAGCCATGTTATTAATGTGTCCTTCAGACACTGCAGTAATAGGATCGCTAGCTTTACCATAATTTATCAACAGTCTAAAGAATCATAAATAACGTTATAAAGAAATTTAATGTCTGTCATGCTATATAATAAGGTTTTAGTGTCCTTACAGTATTTACATGTTTTTAAATAATAAATCAGTTTCTGTAGGAACCTGACTATCAACAGTCTCATAATTTACCACTATTTCCTATGGAGCTAAAGCTGTACCAGTAATATTTGATACAATAAATAACATTGTGTGTGTTGCTAGACTAAAATCCAGCACACAGTGTCCATCTTGAGTGCAGATACAGCACCAGAGTACAGGCTGTGACTGTGCTGGCTGGTTTTAGCCCAGCTCTGCCTCTTAAGTTGAAAACAACAAGGGTAGGTCGTGAGGAAAAGAGGGGGAAAAAAAGTTTTTAGTTATTGGCTT